TAATCCAATTAAAATCCATTAGAATTGATTATAACATTTTTTTTGCTAAATCATTTGCAAAACTTGCAGCCTTTCCGGGTTACTCATGGCCGCCTCGCAAACTAACACCCCCCCCCCCTCACTTTGCCCCCATCCGCATTTGCCCAAACCCCCTCCCCGCACCCCGCTCCCCTACTTTTATCCCTTCGCCCACCCCCATGTTTACGCCCAAACCCAACCCCCTAGTTTCAGTCCCCCCATATTGATATAAAAAATACTAGGACTATAAGTCATTTTTGATGGATAATAATCGATTCATTTTGTAATCTTATAGATACTGACTTTAAAATGTCAAAATAATCGATTATTATCCATGGAACTCCAGTGCAGAACATTTTTTTGGCTCAATGCTCAATGTTGTCTGGTCAAATATTGCCGGCACTGTTATCGCTTGTTAAATTTTTTGGTTCGATACTAACTTCACATTCAAAGTCTTGGTACACTCGAACTAATCTTTTGTCAATTTTTTTCCGTTTTTTTTTATTAGCCTCTTGATACGTAATCCGTGGAAAAGACCAAAAATTCGTTATACAAAAACCATTCTTGTAAGAAAAAATGATCGATACAAAAACCATTTTTGTTTAAAAAATGATCGCTACTCGGGCTAGGATTGTCCACAACTAATTTTTGATGACGGATGGTAGCATTTTGAAAAACTCTCTGAAAATTGAGGGTTCTAAGGTTGATGTCTACATACATACGCTAAGAGATCTGAATATTTACGACCATGAAAAACTAGTCTTTTTTGATGTCTTTTACGTTGATTAGTTTGAAAAAAAAAGCGCAATTGTTTATTTTTTTCCTTTGTACTAGCGAGAAAAAACTGTTTCCTCATAGAGTTTGCTCAAACTTGCCTTTTTAAAATTTTCTCAAGGTTGTAGATATAACTTGTAAACTAATGTAAACTGCTTCTTGAAAATTCAAATATTTTTTATGGATGGTTTTATTGTCGGCTGATTTATCATGTTACGTTTGTTTTGTATTGCTGCGCCTCTGTTTTAATCATTGTGCATCAAATTATGTTTTGGAATCATCTGAGTCTCTAAGGCTGAAAAAACAAAAAGCGTTCTTTATTGTACAGCTGATGACATAGAAAAAGTAACTACTTCCAAAAATATTGCTCGCACTTTTATGTTTCCAATCTTAAGTCGCGTCAAAAAGTAAATCAAGGATTTTTCAAACGTTTTTTGTGGACAAAAGGTGCGTTCTATGATTCATTTTTGTTTTCGGCTAATGGTTTTACATTTTAGCGGAGACTTAAATGAACCACCTGCTCTCATTATTTAGACTGTACTAAAATGAAAAACAGTTTTGCATTTCTTTTTGCATACAACGTTTATATGAAGAGCGGTTGCCTTACCATGCTCAAAAATAGACTAAAATAGCGTAGTTGGTGAAAAAAATGTTATTGAGCAACATAAAAACGCTCGTATTTGTACGTAGCTTTTAAGACAAAATTGTGCTCTACAAACCTATAAATTACATTAGTCTATTCAGGTAGACAGGAAACTTAACGTCGCTTTTTTAAAATCGACGAGACTTATTTTTCTATAACAGCTTATGAATTTAATTTGGTTAAAGTAAGGTGGGTGAATATCTCAGCATTCTCATATCTCGCTTTCGTAAATAATAAACTGATTAATTATGCTTCAGCTCGAGTGTACTTAATTACTACATCATCAAACTCGTATCACGCCATCAAATTCCAGCAAAGTCCCAGTCTTGGGATAAAAATTATCTTATCAGACATTATCTTTTTGCACCATTTTTATTTGCTCGGAAAGCAAAGAGACTGGAGTTCAATTCTCCTGCAGTATTCATTTGTTTTACTATATTCATGTTCCGTTATACAGTATGACGCATTGACTTATTGTAAATATTTACCTAGTATAACAATTTGTTCCGACTAGTGAGATCTATCAACATTTTCCTCCTCGACCTGGTACGAATTATCGACCTCATTGGACAGGCATTAGAAATAATTTGATCCTAATTAGCGGGACTGAGATTTTATTCATTGAGGCTCCTCATTGCCCATGGGAACAGAATTTCAAGTTTCATCAAAAAGTACCATTTTCTATTCACACTCATTTACGGAACGGGAGCTCGACCGTTAGTACTGAACATTTGAAAAGGCCAACATATCAGAAAGGCACAGGAAATTAAATGCGACTTTGAAACACTGTATCTGCACAGTTGGTGCCGCTTTGTTGTGCAAATAAAAAACACACATTCCCTTGTATACAGTTGAATTAATGAACATTTTTGCTGCGTGAGTTATTATCGCTATTTATCTGTATAGCAGAAATTCAACTGAAATTAATCGACATATGGCTCATTGACGTTTTATTATCAGCAGCCGCGTTGACAAAATCAATGCTTTTGACTATTGGAGTGGACAGAGATATTTGTTGATTCTCATTTTGACAGAAACAATCAATATCATCCATCACTCAACAAGCGAGAATTGATTGTCGTCTCGCTGGATAATGGAAGCGTCTGGAGATGCACATCCAGCAGCAGGCTCTTGCAAGGATGCTAGTGAAAAACAGGAAACATTGTAAGTTTTTCAAATGAAGGAGAATCGTTTGTTTAATTTGCTGTGTGACGATTACGAGTAAAAGGTTCAAGCTTCTTGGTTATCTTTACCCTTGTGATAAGCAAGGGTATTGCAATCGGTTACTAGACTTTGGGCACAGGACTCATCTCATGGACCCTGGACTCAATCATTCACTAGGCCTTTCTCTTGCAACAGAGATATTTTGAGCATGTTAGCATTTCAAATATACGGCCTATTCAAAATTTTTTTGTTATGTTGGTTGTAGTTTTACCAACTCGCTTTGTTAAAACTTCATTTTTTTCCTCGTTTTTTTTCGGTTTTTAGTAGGTTTCGGTATATTTTATATCAGCTTAGTGGCCCCATATTGCATCGTTTGATGAGCGAAAAAAATGTTTTTTGTGCATTTTGAGTTTTGAGGGGAATGAAATTTAACAATTTTGGCTTTGAGGGTTTCTGCTCAGACATTTTTCGTTTTTTTTTTACCGCCTGTTAAATTTTCCGATAGTAAATTATTACATTCTATTAAATAGTTTTTTTTTGAGTTTTTTAAGTTTTTTTGGCCATTTTTTTCGCGTATTGCATCGCAAGTGGTGCGAAGCTCAGCTTTCCCTCTGTGTTAATGATTATGCTTGTGATAAATTATAAGTTAAACGGCTGGAATACTATGTGCTGGTACAGTACTCTTTAGTATTGTTTTAGTACACTTGGTGTTGCTGTTTTTCTTGCAAAAATCAATAGCCGGTGGATTATCTGTCTGCTCAAGTTTTCTCGGCACAGTTTCCACAGCATGAATTTGATGCTGATTCAAGTTTAAAATCAGCAAATTTAGTCATTTTGATTTCCTTTTATTTGAAAATTTATTAGCTCCGATTTCGTGTTTTAAGTAGAATAGAAATGAAAAATTTCCGGTCGCACAATATGATACTAGAGTACCTGGCTGCCATGACTAATCCAATAGTGGCCCAAAGCATGGATTGTTTCAACTACGGCTAAATTCTGATTTTAACAGTTTTTTTTAACATTGTGATAAGCAAGGGTGTTTCAAACGGGTAGTCGATTTTTCCCCCTGTAAACAACTTAGTTCACAGAATGGTCAATTTAAGTAGGAATGGTAAATATCACCCTCAGTAGATGACATGCTCAATCTTTAAAAGTTTAAATAAAACTACTATCAATTAGGTACTAATTAGGTGAAAAACTTTTCAGGCAATAATTTTTTCTTCAAAATGATTCCTTTTGAAAAATGGTGATTGTTTTTTCAGACTCGTGATTTTCGTCGTCCTTTTTTCGGCTTCCCTGATTTTGTCGATTCATTTACCGTTCTTAGATGCAATTTGTTCCTGGTACGGTTTTTTGGCTTAATTTCTAAAGCAAGGGATTTAGTTTGAAACCTTTTTACAAAAACGAAATTTCTCTTTTTTGTGAAGTTACCAAATCTGATTTTAAATAGTTTTCGTTTTTTTTTTTCATTTTTTAAACGAATTTGGTTTGTGATATCGGATTATTCAGTTTGTCTGGCTTAATTTGGAGAGCAAAATTTTTTTAATGCTTTTTGCTTCTTCTTTATAGCTAACTATATTTTTTTTCCAATTTTTCTTTTCACTTCTTTTGTTTGGACTAAAAGGTCTCAATTTTTAATGAATTGGCGTGGATAACTTATTTTGGGAGCTAAAAGCGATTGTCTAAACGCTTAAATTTTGAGGTGGACTTAAAACCTTTCTTTGGGTTTAACAGTTTTAATAAAAACATTCGTTTCGGCGCAACGTCTGTCAGCTACAAAATGGTCGTCTTTGTAAGTTTTGTTTCGATGCTTATTTATTTATCAATTGTGTTACTTCTTGGTATATTCTCCTCAAAGGAATTTTGTTCAAGAGCAAATCAAGTCATTTTGTAAAGTTTTTGATGGATCATTTTTCTGTCTATTTTCTGTCTCTATTTCTGTCGGTTAGTTTGTCATGTTCTGTATGTGTCGCATCGCCAGTAATGCGAATCTTCATTTCTTCTCTGTTTTTACTTTTCTTAAGGTACAGTTAATTCATATCCACCATTTCGGATTTTTTTCGGAATTTTCATATATTTTTATAAGAAACAATTTTTTTTAGAAGTTTTCTTATTTTTTTTTGTCGGTTCATCTGCAAGTATCGGTTTTCATTCATTTTTCTTTCGCAACAGGCGTGAAGCTCTGCTTCGCCTTTGTGTCAAAATTTATTTGCCGTTTGCTTGAGTAGCAAAAGCGGATTATTGAAATTGACCTAATATTCTTAAAGTTGCCTTAATATGTTTATACCACTCTAAAGGAATAGACTGGTGAATTGCTCGCTGTTTACTAAACAATGTTCCTCACACTTTGAGAATGCTTTAAAAAATTCAGGTAGACAGGAAAAAATGTTATTGAGCAACATAAAAACGCTCGTATTTGTACGTAGCTTTTAAGACAAAATTGTGCTCTACAAACCTATAAATTACATTAGTCTATTCAGGTAGACAGGAAACTTAACGTCGCTTTTTTAAAATCGACGAGACTTATTTTTCTATAACAGCTTATGAATTTAATTTGGTTAAAGTAAGGTGGGTGAATATCTCAGCATTCTCATATCTCGCTTTGGTAAATAATAAACTGATTACTTATGCTTCAGCTCGAGTGTACTTAATTACTACATCATCAAACTCGTATCACGCCATCAAATTCCAGCAAAGTCCCAGTCTTGGGATAAAAATTATCTTATCAGACATTATCTTTTTGCACCATTTTTATTTGCTCGGAAAGCAAAGAGACTGGAGTTCAATTCTCCTGCAGTATTCATTTGTTTTACTATATTCATGTTCCGTTATACAGTATGACGCATTGACTTATTGTAAATATTTACCTAGTATAACAATTTGTTCCGACTAGTGAGATCTATCAACATTTTCCTCCTCGACCTGGTACGAATTATCGACCTCATTGGACAGGCATTAGAAATAATTTGATCCTAATTAGCGGGACTGAGATTTTATTCATTGAGGCTCCTCATTGCCCATGGGAACAGAATTTCAAGTTTCATCAAAAAGTACAATTTTCTATTCACACTCATTTACGGAACGGGAGCTCGACCGTTAGTACTGAACATTTGAAAAGGCCAACATATCAGAGAGGCACAGGAAATTAAATGCGACTTTGAAACACTGTATCTGCACAGTTGGTGCCGCTTTGTTGTGCAAATAAAAAACACACATTCCCTTGTATACAGTTGAATTAATGAACATTTTTGCTGCGTGAGTTATTATCGCTATTTATCTGTATAGCAGAAATTCAACTGAAATTAATCGACATATGGCTCATTGACGTTTTATTATCAGCAGCCGCGTTGACAAAATCAATGCTTTTGACTATTGGAGTGGACAGAGATATTTGTTGATTCTCATTTTGACAGAAACAATCAATATCATCCATCACTCAACAAGCGAGAATTGATTGTCGTCTCGCTGGATAATGGAAGCGTCTGGAGATGCACATCCAGCAGCAGGCTCTTGCAAGGATGCTAGTGAAAAACAGGAAACATTGTAAGTTTTTCAAATGAAGGAGAATCGTTTGTTTAATTTGCTGTGTGACGATTACGAGTAAAAGGTTCAAGCTTCTTGGTTATCTTTACCCTTGTGATAAGCAAGGGTATTGCAATCGGTTACTAGACTTTGGGCACAGGACTCATCTCATGGACCCTGGACTCAATCATTCACTAGGCCTTTCTCTTGCAACAGAGATATTTTGAGCATGTTAGCATTTCAAATATACGGCCTATTCAAAATTTTTTTGTTATGTTGGTTGTAGTTTTACCAACTCGCTTTGTTAAAACTTCATTTTTTTCCTCGTTTTTTTTCGGTTTTTAGTAGGTTTCGGTATATTTTATATCAGCTTAGTGGCCCCATATTGCATCGTTTGATGAGCGAAAAAAATGTTTTGTGTGCATTTTGAGTTTTGAGGGGAATGAAATTTAACAATTTTGGCTTTGAGGGTTTCTGCTCAGACATTTTTCGTTTTTTTTTTTACCGCCTGTTAAATTTTCCGATAGTAAATTATTACATTCTATTAAATAGTTTTTTTTTGAGTTTTTTAAGTTTTTTTGGCCATTTTTTTCGCGTATTGCATCGCAAGTGGTGCGAAGCTCAGCTTTGCCTCTGTGTTAATGATTATGCTTGTGATAAATTATAAGTTAAACGGCTGGAATACTATGTGCTGGTACAGTACTCTTTAGTATTGTTTTAGTACACTTGGTGTTGCTGTTTTTCTTGCAAAAATCAATAGCCGGTGGATTATCTGTCTGCTCAAGTTTTCTCGGCACAGTTTCCACAGCATGAATTTGATGCTGATTCAAGTTTAAAATCAGCAAATTTAGTCATTTTGATTTCCTTTTATTTGAAAATTTATTAGCTCCGATTTCGTGTTTTAAGTAGAATAGAAATGAAAAATTTCCGGTCGCACAATATGATACTAGAGTATCTGGCTGCCATGACTAATCCAATAGTGGCCCAAAGCATGGATTGTTTCAACTACGGCTAAATTCTGATTTTAACAGTTTTTTTTAACATTGTGATAAGCAAGGGTGTTTCAAACGGGTAGTCGAATTTTCCCCCTGTAAACAACTTAGTTCACAGAATGGTCAATTTAAGTAGGAATGGTAAATATCACCCTCAGTAGCTGACATGCTCAATCTTTAAAAGTTTAAATAAAACTACTATCAATTAGGTACTAATTAGGTGAAAAACTTTTCAGGCAATAATTTTTTCTTCAAAATGATTCCTTTTGAAAAATGGTGATTGTTTTTTCAGACTCGTGATTTTTGTCGTCCTTTTTTCGGCTTCCCTGATTTTGTCGATTCATTTACCGTTCTTAGATGCAATTTGTTCCTGGTACGGTTTTTTGGCTTAATTTCTAAAGCAAGGGATTTAGTTTGAAACGTTTTTACAAAAACGAAATTTCTCTTTTTTGTGAAGTTACCAAATCTGATTTTAAATAGTTTTCGTTTTTTTTTTTCATTTTTTAAACGAATTTGGTTTGTGATATCGGATTATTCAGTTTGTCTGGCTTAATTTGGAGAGCAAAATTTTTTTAATGCTTTTTGCTTCTTCTTTATAGCTAACTATATTTTTTTTCCAATTTTTCTTTTCACTTCTTTTGTTTGGACTAAAAGGTCTCAATTTTTAATGAATTGGCGTGGATAACTTATTTTGGGAGCTAAAAGCGATTGTCTAAACGCTTAAATTTTGAGGTGGACTTAAAACCTTTCTTTGGGTTTAACAGTTTTAATAAAAACATTCGTTTCGGCGCAACGTCTGTCAGCTACAAAATGGTCGTCTTTGTAAGTTTTGTTTCGATGCTTATTTATTTATCAATTGTGTTACTTCTTGGTATATTCTCCTCAAAGGAATTTTGTTCAAGAGCAAACCAAGTCATTTTGTAAAGTTTTTGATGGATCATTTTTCTGTCTATTTTCTGTCTCTATTTCTGTCGGTTAGTTTGTCATGTTCTGTATGTGTCGCATCGCCAGTAATGCGAATCTTCATTTCTTCTCTGTTTTTACTTTTCTTAAGGTACAGTTAATTCATATCCACCATTTCGGATTTTTTTCGGAATTTTCATATATTTTTATAAGAAACAATTTTTTTTAGAAGTTTTCTTTTTTTTTTTTGTCGGTTCATCTGCAAGTATCGGTTTTCATTCATTTTTCTTTCGCAACAGGCGTGAAGCTCTGCTTCGCCTTTGTGTCAAAATTTATTTGCCGTTTGCTTGAGTAGCAAAAGCGGATTATTGAAATTGACCTAATATTCTTAAAGTTGCCTTAATATGTTTATACCACTCTAAAGGAATAGACTGGTGAATTGCTCGCTGTTTACTAAACAATGTTCCTCACACTTTGAGAATGCTTTAAAAAATTGTTGGAAACACATTTTACAAAGCACTCGAGCTCATACGTGTTCATCTTGAAACTTTTTTCAAATCAATTTCAGCTCAATTTTTTTTTCATCACAATTAAAGTATGATGTGTTCTTTACGAAAACAAACACGCTGAAATATTTTAAGATGTGTTAAACAGGTTGAATACTAGTTGAAATTACACGTTCACCGACAATGTACAAATTTGAAGTAGCTTGCTTGCTGTCGAACAAAATAGGTTTAAACTCAAATCAGTTGAACTTGAATTGATTGCACCATTTTTTGCCATATATAAGTTGGCCGGGGTCTTTCCTAAATTGACTGAGAATTTTTTTATAAGTACATTTTGTTGCGGCTAGTACAATTTGATACGTTTTTGAACGGAATGCGGAATGTTGCTGTGAAGAATAATGCTTTTTTTCAACTACACTTTTATCAAAGGCCCGACTGTGCAATGGTTTAATGCAGAAAAATTTTTAGAACGAAAAGATTATGAAACTCTGAGCTCGATAAAACTAACCGTTTCTTAAGAAAGAAAGATTTTTTGATCATGCATAAATTGTCTACAGCAGTTTTTTATTAGAGTCTCGGTAAGATTTTGGTCTATTGTAGAAAGAGTAATAGCTGAATATGGTATATGGCTTAGTACGAACGCTTTGGTAGTCATGGTTTTCATTCTGCCAGGGATGTTTTCCCTAACTGTATATAAGGTATCAACTCCTTGCGCTACTTTTTTTACATGCTGTTGATATGTTAGATCCTTATCAATGAAAACACATCAGTTTTCACTTGGTTTTTCAGAGTCGATGAACGCAGTGAAGACTTTTAAATAGGTCATGATGATTTTTTTATTTGTATTTTGTTTCAGAAAAAAAACTTCGTAAAAAAAATGCTTATATGTTTATATTTTTAGGTATATCTGCAAATTTAGTTCTGTTTTTGCTTAAAGCTAGGTAAATTGCGCTCTCCAGTTCGAAAGCCGTAATGGCGCAAAACAACAAGATCGTCATCTAGTTTCAAAAGTGGTATTTAACTTACAGATTTCCCAGTCGAAAAAAGTTTACCTATTGATACAGTTTTCTCAATTTCGGTTATTTTGGTCACAAATTGTTAATCATAAATTGTTCTAGAAATTCGAAAAGACTTAAAGCCTTGTATTTTTTCTTTCAAATTCGAAAGTTGAAACTTTTTCAAAAACAAATCAATTATTTTTTCTGGTTTCTTGCGTTTATTGACTATTTTCTAACTGTTTATTGGCAATGTTCTAATTTTTTCCAACAAAGTAGGAATTGAATTACCCTGAAGTAGTTTATAGTTCATTTACACAAGCAATGCTTGTGTTATAGTGTGAACTATCTTTTTTTTCTAACCTAATTAGCAAATATTGATGGGACGCAAAGATTGTTGCGATAAAATGTGTTGATTTTGATCACTAACCAGCTATTAAAAACAGCCAATGCTAAAGATTTTAACGCAGACTATTATTGTTCCGTCTTTTGTGATGAAAGTAACGGAATATTTGTGCACGGGGTGGTTTTTTTTCTTCAGACAAATTTCGGCTTTGAACTAGCAATTTTGACGAGATTTTTATATCAATCAAAAAGTATTGTTGTCCTGAGCTTAAATGTGGAAAGATATTTCACCTGCGATTATTTTTCCTAAAGTTATGGGAGTTAAAAAACTGCCATTTTGGCCAATTTGAGACAATTAACGCGCGATATATTTCGCGCTATTAACGCGTAAGCGGAGATTTAATCCGTCAAAGAACTCCTTTCACTTTGGTTGAAGGAAGCTTAATTGCCATAAATCATTTGTTACTAGGAGCGAAATGTATCACTTTGTTCTTAATATGGCGCGTGGGTAGATGATTTTCACAAAAAATCTCAAGTTAAAAAAGCTTTCGTTTCAATTTCATTACATTTATTTTTTTCATGTTTTTTATTGCATGAGTTTTCATGAGTTATATTTGTTTTTTTTTTCAAATTCACTGGTACTGCTAATGCGTTATAATTGGCGTGCGCGAGTTAAGAAATTTTGAAGACTCAAAGTTTTATTCATTCAGTTTTTCCCAGCAGCGTTATTGGCCATATTTTTCCTTGTGTATGCGAAATGCAACTTCGCCTCTGTGTTGAGTTTTTAAAAAAAATTCATATCATTTCCTTCATAAAGTTTTCAAGAACTTCTTCAACTTTTTTGAAAGAATTCTTAAACTACCGAGGTCAGAATATTTTTTTTCTACTTTCATAGCAACGGGCTACCCTTTTTTCAATGTTTCTTTTTCATGAAGTGTACAAATGATCTGGATGATTTTGATTGATTGATTTTTATCTATGTATATTGAATAACTTAGCATTTGTTGGTTGTTGTTGGGACCATTAAAAATTTGGAGGAACTTTGTATTCAGGTGGGTTTTAGTTTTTATTTTTTGTTTTCCACGCAAAATTAGCTAGCACAAAAAATCATTGGAATAGGTCGAGTGATATATCATATTTAAGCCCTTTCAGTTAGGACTCTAACCACAATAAAAAATTCTGTCAGTGTTGAGAAAAACCAGTTTGAAATTTTCGGTCTATTTCAAGCTAATAAGGTGAGCGTGCAGGCTTACAAGAGCTTATTTATGCTTAATTTAAACCGTGAAAACTTGTTTTAGTTTTAGTTAGTTTTTAGGAGTTGTTTAGCGCCAATTCGGGGAATCAAAAACTTCATAAATCAAAAATTTTCTGCATCAAAATTTGAAAAACTTTTCAAATTTTTTGAATTTTTTAAACGATTTTCTTTTCGTTTTTCTAGTCATTTTTCTACAAAAGCTGTTTTCCATTTGGCCTATTTTGCTATGAATGACGAATATCCCTAAGTTCTTCTTTAAAGTTTAGATCTTTCTATTTTACCCCGCAGAAAAAACCACACTAATTAGAAAAATCCGTGCTCTTTTTTTGCATAGTTTCAGAACCTGGTTTGTTACATTTTTGAAGTCAAAAACACAATGACTTCAGAGCAGCAAGAAGCTTTTATGAAACTAGTAAACAAATTTAAAATTGAAATTGAGTGAACCGTTTAGCTCCTGAGTTTACAGACCATGCTTCATTTCTAGTTAACAAACAAAAACATCAAACATACGGAAACGTGTCGAAATTTAAACAAAAGTACTAGAAACAAAAGATCGATATATCATAATGCCTAAAAAACCAAAAAATATATCAACAAATTGGAAGTATGATATAGAAGGTTTTATTCATCTCTGGAATTAAACTTTTCAGACAAATAATTTGTTATCTGCTAGCGTAATTGTTTTTTGACGAAGTGTTTAGTTCTAGGTGAAAACTTGACCACTTCTATTTTTTTGTATTTTTAAGGTTCAATGAAATAATTCAATTGGGATCTTTGTTTGAGTGTGACCAAAGTTTATCAAAACTTTTTCCTGAAAAAACAACCAAAAAAATGTCATTGTTCACGCGCAATTTTGAAGTTTCGTTGTTTGACTTTGGTTTTTTTGCAAAAGCGAATTTGTAAAGTTCACAAAAAACGTAATCAAATTTTAGTTTCGAAAATGAAAATAAGTTGTCAGATTTTAAAGCGGAATAAAATTTTACATAATGATCAAGGTTTCTCTAATTGGGTTAGTTGTATCAAACAAGTGCCAATCATAAATTATTCTTGAGTTTCGATGAGCTTTAGGGCAATATATTTTTTTCTTTGAAGTTCGAAAGTTGAAGTTTTTTCATAAATTGAGTCAGTATCGTTTTTCTATTTGCTTGCTTTCATTATTTTTTTTCCAGCTGTTTGCTAGCTTTGCTTCAATGCCATTCAAATCACGACTAAAAGAGCATTAGTGATATATATAACGCATTCTATTCCGATGATTTTTTGTGGTACCTGGTTTTGCGGGGAAAAAATTTAAAACAAAAAACTAAAACGCACCCGAAGATAAAGTTCCTACCCACTTTTAGTGGTCGGAACAAACAGCTGAAGCACGCCTAAAGACAAGACAAAGTGCTTCCTCACTTTCATTGGTCGAAACAGTATTTTTGGCCGCGAATTTCCTTCGAGTAATATGAAACGAATTGGATTGTATTTGTGACCGATGTGTTATCGACCACAATTTTTAAAGCCTGTATTTACCTGGATGTCATTTCTTTCATATAACAAATTGAAATCAGTTTTGCTCTTTATCTGTCATCAAATAATTAAAATGTAACTTGAAATTTATGTTATCTTGCATTCTGTAGGCTGAGTCGGCGTAATATTGGCGCAATTGCTCAGCTACCGTCAGTCGAAGAGTTTTCAAAAACTTCAAATGACTCGAACAAAGATAATGATCTCACAAAACCATCATCGTTCACGTCTCTTCTGTCAAAATCCAGGGTTGAACCTCTAAGTGCTGCTAATGGTGCAATGCCAACTGTCGAAAATGACCGGCTGCCAAATGATGGTCATAACAATAGAGGAAGCGACAAATTGTCAAGAAATGAGAGATTCGGCTGGCTGAGATTTCGGCCAAATTTCCTTCAGAAGTTTAACAGTCCTGTCGCAATGCTCATCTTCATCTGTCTGCTAGTTGCAGTACAGGCTAAATTGGGCAAGTTTCATTATTTTGATGAAATTTAGTTTTTATTTAAAAATATCAATCAAATCGGTAACCTTTCGACGAGCATATTTTTTGAAGATAATTTGACATCAGTTGTTTTCTTTGGGGTATAGCATGTCCTAGAACGTTGTTATTATTGTATCAAAAGCATGCTCCGACTGTCAGCGGAGCGGTGCTTAGCATCACTGGTGATTCAAAAATTTAAGCCTATATTCTGCAAAAAAATGACGATGTGAAAAAACTTCTACAAATTATTTGCGTTTTATGAAAGAGGTTTTTAATTTTAAGAGTAATGAACCTAGTGAGTACTCTCATATAAGTCTTGGCGATTTTTTTGTATTTTTTTTTCAGGAAAAGTTTAAGAATTTGTTCACGCTCAATTTCGATTTTTTGCGGTATGACTTTTGATTGCTTTTTAAGTTCACTTCATTTCCTTTGTTAAAAGGAAGGTAAACTCCACAGCAAAAGTGTCAAGGCCACGAAAAACATGATCGACTTCTAATTTCGAAAATGGAATTCATTTATTAGATTTCCTTGAAAATTTTTTTATCTATTTCCTAGTTTTCTCAAATTGGGTCAATTTTATCAAAAAAAAACACCAATTATAACTTTTTGTGAAACTCAAAGGGTATATATTGCTTATATTGCTTTGAGGGTATATATTGCTTATTTAAAATTCAAAAAAAGAGGTTTTTCAAAAAATAAGTCTTTTTTCTATTTCCTTGCGTTCGTTACACTTTTCCAACTGTCAGTTGGCTATTTTCATGAAACATTTCGTAGAACTAGCTTTTTTCGAAACATAGATCAAATCGAAACACAGACTTTTTTCATGCAAACAGCTTGCTTAACAAAATCAGTGAATCATTTGGTCGGCTGTTTTTTACGTCAACCAAGAGGCATATGCTTATGTTGATCATGTGTATATTTTAAACACCCAATCTATTCGGAACTTGTTTTCTAATGAAAAAGAACGAAGTGAGTTTCATTCAGGAAAAGTCTTTAAATGCTTTAGTAACCATAATAGTTAAGCATACATATCAATGAATTTTGAATGTAGGTAGGTATATGTGCTTTTTTTGAGTATCATTCAAATTCATTTGCTAAAAAGTTGACAAATTGAGCTCTTCTATCACCACAACGCAAATAGGACGGAAAACAGCAATCGATTTCCAGTTTCAAAAATGGAATTTGATTTTATAATTTCCAGCAGAATAAAAAAAATTACACATCAGTCTAGTTTTCATAAATTGGGTTAATTTATCATAGTTTTGAATCGTTTTTGAAATGCAAAGACCTTTAACCTGATAACTTCTTCTTCGAAACGCGAAATTGAAAAACGTTCAAAAATTTTCAATCCAATTTTTTTGGTTTTCTTGAGTTCTTATAAATTTTTCTAGCCTTCTGTTGGCTATGTTTTATCTTGATTTGTTTTTAATAACTCTGATTTTGTAAAATTTCAGTTTTTTATTCGCTTCAAAGATTTATTCGAGTTATACGGTTTCAACAAACACTCCATCGACTTGATGATCTCCTTTTGTGTCGTTTGAAGGGTAAAAGAAATTGTTTCCTAAATTTTTCAAATTCAAAATCCAACGTTCAATTTTTTCATGATACTTCTTTTTTTGGCTTAACGGGCGTCTCTCCAATTATAATCGGCTGCGTATTTGTATTTCTTGAAATGTTTTTTTTTTGTCTCAAAATGACAAAATTAAAGACTAGAGCTCAACGTGTTGTATTAACTTCTGTCGACTACCTTACCATGTTTTTTTTTGCGCTGTATCACGAATTGTGCGAAAACTCCGCTCCGCCCTTGTTTGGAAAACTTATTGAATTGGGCTAATTGAGTTACGCAAAACAAATCTCAAGTGCAGAAGACTCTTAGGAGTCAAAAACGGTCCTTCAATTTTATCAGACTCGTTTAATCCAGTTATCAAAATTTAGTAGCAAAGTAATAGATTTTGAGCTGTTAATCGGTAATTAGAAATAAAAATTTACCAAAAAAAGCTTAAATTTAACTTCGTAAAAAATTTCATCGCAAAAATTTCCATTCAAAACTTTCATTGTTCCATGATTAAAACGCCAAAACTGTTAAAAGTCGAAAAATTTCAGCGAAAACTTTTTGTAGAACTTTTTTGAATGCGAGCTAAAATTCAATTCAAAGAAGTTTAACTAAGTAAAATGTACATAAAAGAGGAAACAATTCACTAAAATTCTTTTTTAATTATAAAATAAATTTCGTAAAAATCGATCTGCGAAAAGCATCGGAGAAAAATGAATTATTTTATTATCAGTTTTAATAATATAGCCAAAGCGCGACATGTATAAGAAAAAGCTATGAAATTAACTGTTTTCCTTTTGATTGAATTTCACCAACGACCGGCTATTTTTATTATTAGCGGCAATACCTTTCGTTACAGTAAGGCAAGTTGTTTTGATTAAGAAAAATTTAGTGCTCGATTTGATGAAATTATTAATCGCAATTGCAATTGCAATTGCAAGTTTTGGACCCTTATTCAGCATAATTGGAAGTTACAAAAGAAGTTCATTCAGTTTATTGGAATCCAGGGGATAAATTATAATATAATTTTTAGATTTATGAATATTTCAGTGAGTGGCTTTCTGAACACGTCACTGTCCACGATAGAGAAAGTGTTCGGACTCAGTTCGACGGAAAGTGGCCTCATCATCAGCACCTATGACGTGGCCAGTCTCCTCGCAGTTATCCCAGTCACCTACTTTGGCCAGGCTGGTAGAAAGCCCAGGTATCTGGGGGGAGGAGCGGTGTTGATTGCGGCGGGATGTTTTGTCTTCTTCCTGCCAGAGGCATTCCGAGATCCATACACATGGTTGACGGATGATGAATTGCAATATTGCTCAAGTGAAGAGAAGGTTAGCTAAATATGAAGAGCATATATGAGAAGGTTAGCTCAAGTGAAGAGAAGGTTAGCTAAATATGAAGAGCATATATGAGAAGGTTAGCTCAAGTGAAGAGAAGGTTAGCTAAATATGAAGAGCATATATGAGAAGGTTAGCTCAAGTGAAGAGAAGGTTAGCTAAATATGAAGAGCATATATGAGAAGGTTAGCTCAAGTGAAGAGAAGGTTAGCTAAATATGAAGAGCATATATGAGAAGGTTAGCTCAAGTGAAGAGAAGGTTAGCTAAATATGAAGAGCATATATGAGAAGGTTAGCTCAAGTGAAGAGAAGGTTAGCTAAATGTGAAGAGCATATATGAGAAGGTTAGCTCAAGTGAAGAGAAGGTTAGCTAAATATGAAGAGGCATATATGAGAAGGTTAGCTCAAGTGAAGAGAAGGTTAGCTAAATATGAAGAGCATATATGAGAAGGTTAGCTCAAGTGAAGAGAAGGTTAGCTAAATATGAAGAGCATATATGAGAAGGTTAGCTCAAGTGAAGAGAAGGTTAGCTAAATATGAAGAGCATATATGAGAAGGTTAGCTCAAGTGAAGAGAAGGTTAATCGAATCGTCACTCCAGATTATTTGAGATAATTCTTGGTCTTATGGTCTACAAAAACTTAGTTTATATATAATCAATATATATATATTTTTTCTTTTTTATTCGGTTTCTTAGCATAGTTTAAAGGAAATCACTAATTAGTCTGCACAGCTGGGTGTATTTTTCAATTGCATCGCTGGCAAATCTTAATATGAATAAAGAATGATGATGATGATTGCTGGATTTCGTGGTAATAGTCGCATGGTCATGAATCACTTAAAATAAAACTGTAACCAGATGTGATTCATGACGAATCAATCAAACAACCAAGCACAGAAAAAGTTAATGGATTTGTTTGTGGCAATTGTTATTCAGAAGTTTCTGTCAGGTTGCCAATCGGGTTCAACTATTTTTGAGGCGAGACAAAATCATTGTGTAAAGTTTCTCTGTGTTTTAGAACCAGGAGTGTGCAGACCACAATTCGAACCACAACCTCAAGTTCATCTTCATGGTGGGCACTCTCCTCATTGGAGTGGGTGCCACTCCTGTCTACACTCTGGGGGTAGCATACATGGACGAGAATGTACCCAAGGCCAAATCCGCCTTATATCTAGGTACTTCACTATCTAGGTACTTCAGTCTAGGTATTTTATTCAAAGTCATGAAACTTGAACAAATACTTTTTCATAACAAGCTCTAACAGCGTTTGAAAATTGTCCAAAAGCTTTATAAAAATGTAATCCTAATGCTTGAAGGAAGGATAATGAGTGAAAAAGTGAAAAGTAGCACTTTTTCAGGTATATTCTACACGATTGCAGTTGTAGCTCCAGCTCTCGGCTATGTTCTCAGCGGTCTCTTCCTTAGAATACCCATCGATTTCAAGTAAGTTGTGCAGTGAAAACTATTGTTGTGCAGTGAAAATTTTTTTCATTCACAAATTTGTAGCGCAATGTGTTTTTTGCATCGCAAGTTTTGCTTTTAAGTGCTTTGTTTCAAAAATTTTGAAATTAAATAGGTTTGCCAATTGGCAGAAATTAGGAATATTAACAGAGAGGCGAAGCGGAGCTTCGCAAAACTTGCGATGCAAAAAACCCATTGCGCTACAAATTTGTGAATGAAAAAAAGACAAGTCAAAAAATAATTCTGAAAAATTATGTTGGAAAAAATTACTTGAAAAAATCACTTGACAAAAGTTGAAAAATTACAGCTACAAAAACTCCATATTTGTATCAGATGAAGTTAATAACAGCCACTAAAAATGGAAATCATTTACCGAGCAGCAACAAAAGCGACAAACTTTGGATCAACACCTGTTGAGCCGAAAACAAAACTGTTGTCATAAAAAAATTGCATAAAATTTAAAAGTTTTTACGACCCTTCCAAACTGAAACACATAATCCCTAACGAATATTTTTGCCCTCGAAATTACGCAAAATAAATTGACTAAGTCGATATAGCATAAATTGAATCTGTTTGTATATTCAAAAAAAAATTTAAAAAAAAACTCAAAATCAGACATGGTAAAATAACAATTTTGGGAAACTTCATTTTTAGTAAATGCTATTTAAATTAAAACAAAATCCATGGTTTAGAACGTAAGCCTACCGGATAAAAAATGGCGTTTTAAAAGGGAAAATGAACCGACCGAAACTAGAAAGAAAACCACGAGCCCGAAATAAAAGTGAGACATTTTTTTGAAAAAATAATTACAACCTGAAACTTGGCCAGATAATTACAACCTGAAATTCCAACCTTTGAAAGGCTAATTACAACTTGAAATTACAACCTGAAACCAGAAGATCATCTAGAAGTGAAGATCCTCTACAAGAGGAGATCCTCCTCTAGAAGTTTGGACAAAATTGTTTACGGGAAAAAAAAGTCATGTACCCGATTGCAATACCCTTGCTTATCGCACAGGTTAAAAAAACAATAAAACGAAATTGTTATTTCAGACACTGGAAGGTAGACATTGAGGACCCTGGATGGGCGGGGGCGTGGTTTGTTGGTTTCCTCCTCCAGACCCTTCTAGCTCTACTCATAGCAATACCACTTTTGGGACTGCCCAAGCGCATTAAAGGTAAAGCGGATTAAAGGCATTAAAGCCAAGCGCATTAAATTTAAATTTTCAAGGCCTGATTTTCTGTTGGCTCAAGAAACAAAAATAAGTTTCCATTCAGCTACCATGTAAAATCGCTCCAACAATGAGTCATTTTAAAGAATTTTTTATGCCTGCTTACGAAACAAAAACTGATGAAAACATCATATTTGTTCGCTTCTTTCGAATCGGGGATAAAAAGTTTCGTTTGACCAGGGAAGAAGACAGAAAAGACAGCCGCAACTCAGCCATCAGATGAAGGTTTGAGTGGTGAAATAGAGACCTAGTTGTAATACTTCATTGTTAATGTTTCATTAACCTCATTGTTTGATAGTTAGCATTTATGTACAGCCTAGATTTCATTTTGAAGATTCAATTAACGTAATTCAGATTCTTATAAAGATCGTGATGATTTTTTTTTCGTTTTTCAGGAAAAGTCTTAAAATGCTTTTTTAGCTACAGAAAGTGCATTCACTTTTGTTTTGGGTGAATAAGAATTCTAAAACTTTTGAAGAGTCTAATAGATTTGAAAAGTTTTATAAATTTGAATAGTCAAATAGATTTCACTAGTATAACCAAAATGAGACTATAATGCAACTACTTAGTCTATTTGAATTGAGATAGATGGGGTTTGTGGGAAGAATCCCCTAGATAAATAATGCAATTGCATAAAACAAAATAAACCTTTCGCATATGGTATAGACTGAAATTCGCATAGACTGAAATACTGATTGTCTGTACATTTATACGAGCAAATCTTTTCAAACCTGGAGCAAAAATTTTCCCGTTTAATTTTCTACTTAGCCTGCAACCTGTTTTGAGATGGTGCAAAATTTTCACATAATATTAACAGTTGACTGTTTTTGTTCATTTTCAACTAAGTCAAGCCCGAATACATTTTTTTGTTAAGACCTATATTTATTTTCAAGAAGTTTTGACTTTTTGTCTGTTTTTGAGTCAGAAGAGAAAAAGTTATCAATAGAAATTATAAAAATAGTTAATGTGGTTGGAACAAAACATGCTTATGATTTCTGACAGCAAACAAGATTTAGGTCAGGCATTAATATAATGTAGGAAATCTTTTGCGATGTAAATTGGTTTAAAAAAACGTGGCACTTAAACCGATTGAAGGGATAAATTTTTATTTTTAAAAGTTGAATTTCGAAACGGTCTTTATTTTTCGTTTGACCAGGGAAGAAGACAGAAAATACAGCCGCAACTCAGTCATCAGATGAAGGTTTGAGTGGTTAAATAGAGACCTAGTTGTAATACTTCATTGTTAATGCTTCATTAACCTCATTGTTTGATAGTTAGCGTTTATGTACAGCCTAGATTCCATTTTCAAGATTCGATGAACGTAATTCAGATTCTTATATAGATCGTGATGATTTTTTTTAGTTTTTCAGGAAAAGTCTTAAAATGCTCTTTTAGCTACAGAAAGTGCATTCACTTTTGTTTTGGGTGAATAAGAATTCTAAAACTTTTGAAGAGTCTAATAGATTTGAAAAGTTTTATAAATTTGAATAGTCAAATAGATTTCACTAGTATAACCAAAATCAGACTAAAATGCAACTATTTAGTCTATTTGAATTGAGATGGATGAGGTTTGTGGGAAGAATCCCCTAGATAAATAATGCAATTGCATGAAACAAAATAAACCTTTCGCATCTGGTATAGACTGAAATTCGCATAGACTGAAATACTGATTGTCTGTACATTTATACGAGCAAATCTTTTCAAACCTGGAGCCAAAAAAATTTTCCCGTTTAATTTTCTACTTAGCCTGCAACCTGTTTTGAGATGGTGCAAAATTTTCACATAATATTAACAGTTGACTGTTTTGTTCACTTTTAACTAAGTCAAGCCCGAATACATTTTTTTGTTAAGACCTATATTTATTTTCTGGAAGTTTTGACTTTTTGTCTGTTTTTGACTCAGTAGAAAAAAAGTTATCAATAGAAATTATAAAAATAGTTAATGTGGTTGGAACAAAACATGCTTATGATTTCTGACAGCAAACAAGATTTAGGTCAGGCATTAATATAATGTAGGAAATCTTTTGCGATGTAAATTGGTTTAAAAAAACGTGGCACTTAAACCGATTGAAGGGATAAATTTTTATTTTTAAAAGCTGAATATCGAAACAGTCTTTATTTTTAAAAGCTGAATCTTAAAACAACTTCAAGCAACAGTCAATATGAATTTGAGTAGCTAGTAAAATTTTTTTAAACTTCTTAATTTCAATTGATTTTCAATTTTTTTGTGAGCTATGATAACGCACTTTTTCCACAAATGCTCCTCATATTCTTCAGGTGCTGAAAACATTGAAAGAGTGGATGAGACTGCGGTTCAAGACGATGCTCCGAAAACATCTTTAGGATTCAAGGACATCAAACAGTCTCTGAAGCGGCTCCCTATTTCTATTCTGGGGTTCCTGAAGAACGTGACGTTTATGCTGCTCATCATGCACGGAGTGTGTGCCTACTTGGTCATCAGTGGTCTCGCTACTTTCCTCCCCAAGTACTTCGAGTCCCAGTTCGGACTGTCCTCAAGTGATTCTGCGTTCATGGTCGGTAAGTCATTCGGAAACGTGCGCATGAAGTACGACGTTTTGCACCTGGATAGCAATAGACACTTTTGCGTTGAACAAAAAAAATGAAATATGTTACGACTTTTTCACGAAATGAAGAGAAAGAACTATGGGCAAAGTGTTTTTTTTTTTTGCCCAATTTTGGGTATCGGAAGGAACGTTTGGAGATGTCAATTGTGGTATCGTGTTAAAACCCTTTCATATGAGATGTTTATCCATAAAAAATAATTCTAAAAAGTTCACTCGGTCGAGAAAAACTGGTCTGAATAATTTCGGTTTTCATGCTAAATTAGATAATTTGATCATGAAAACACATGAGAGACTGAACTCCAAATTAATTCTAATTCAATTTTAAGCTACGTTATTATAGCCTTTACTACCACACATTTTAGCGTTTTTCGCCTTATTCGCTCGCCTTTTCCAGAAAAAAAGCAAGATTGTTAGAAAAAAATTTTTTAAAAATATTCTTGAAGATTTTCGAGGATTTACTTCAATTTTTGAATGTCTTTTCTTGAATCAGAGTGGCTGGAAACATAATGAGCCACTTGGGAAGCAACCGGCATCCTTGCTTGCCATCGTCGCTTAAGTTGTGACGTCCACGCAAACGTGGCTAAACTGTCCGGACAGCCTGGTGCCGTGCATATGTAATGAAATTCGACATTAGAACTCTTGGTCAACTAAATATAGTTTTTGCCCGCTAGTTTCACCATTAATTTATTTTTTTCTCTAATTTGCAATTTACGAAATTCAATTCAGGAAGTCTGGCCATTCCAGCAGCTGCCATAGGCACACTTGGCTCTGGCGTGTTTCTGAAGTACAAAGACTGGCCCTGTGTGAAGGTGATGAAGTTCGGCATGGGTGTCCAGATTGTGGCCCTGCCTTTCCTCTGCTTCTTTCTTTTCTCATGTCCCAGATACAGTCTAGCTGGACTCAACGCTCCCTATAATAGGTTCATATCTAACAAATTAGATGCAATATTTGAGCTTGAGCATCTGAATGCGTCAAAAACTTATAAAAGGTTCTACAGTTTCATCGAATGATTTATACAAATGGCACAAAATTGAGCTATTGATACGATTCAGTTAAATTAGTTTCTTCATCTGCGCCTCAAATGTCATATTTAGGGTACTGCTTTTTGTGTTTTACGTGTCTAGATGGTATCGACTGAGTGATGTTTTTTAATGTATCAATCAGACACCGCAGGTTCATAATACGACTGATGGTACTGTTCGTAGATCGGATGCCACTTCAGAGAGTGTAGCAGGTGGCATTGGCTCCTCCAAAGTGGACTTCGACTGGGAGTGTAACTCGGACTGTTCCTGTGATTATGTCTTTTTCGACCCCGTCTGTGCTGAGAATGGTATCACATACTTCTCACCCTGTCATGCCGGGTGCTACAATGTTAGTACAATTGCAGTTCGTTCTTTTATATCGGCGTTCGTTTTATCGTCGGAATTTGGGTGATTTTTTACGTTAACTTCAGCCGGAACCTCTAGAAGTAAGGAAACTCCAATCATGTTCTTAGCAGCCATCGTTTACTTTCTTTTTCATTTAAAACATGATAGGGATAATGAAATTACAGTTTGAATCCATCTTGTAGATGTTTTTAATTCCATCTTGTAGATGTTTTTAATTCCACCTTGTAGATCTATTAAGAGTTAATGAACGTAGTTTAGATTATTAAATAGGTCGTGACGATTTTTTTCTTCTTCAGGAACAGTCTAAAAATGCTCTAATAACAAACGAAGTGCATTCTTAGTTAAATATGAGATATGAATGTCCTTAACACAGTCGAAATTCGTCCGGAGAATAAAAAAAACCCGGGGAAATAATAGAAGTGCATTTGCTAATTGATTCACTTCAAACAATTTATTGATTCAATTTTCTCAAATTCGCTTAGTTTTTGTCAAGAGTCAATCGACGTAGTGACGACTCATGCATGGGTCGTGATGGTTTTCTTTGGTTTTTTTCTCACAAAAAAATCTTGACATTTGTTCACGCTTAAGTTTGATGTTTCGTGGTTTGGCAAGCTCCACTATCAAACAGCAAAAAATATCACAAAAAACTTGACCAACTTCTAATTTCCAAAGTGGATTTCTATTTTTCAGGTTTCCAAGAGGAATAAAAATGTTGCCCATTAATCTAGTTTTTTTTTCAATTGTGCCAAGTTCATCAAAACAGTGTCAATCATGAATTGGTCTTAAAATTCAAAGAGCTTAAAGGGCAAAGCTTGTGTTAGACTATGAACTATCTTTTTTTTCCAACCTAAGTCGCAAATATTGTTGCGACGCAAATATTGTTGCGATAAATTGTGTTCATTTTGAAAGTGTTCATTTTGATCAATAAACAACTAATAAGTACAGCCAATGTTAAAGATTTTAACACAAACTATTATTGTTCCGACTTTCCTAACGAAAGTAACGGAATATTTGTGCTCGGGGTGTTTTTTTTTCTCCGGACGAATTTCGACTTTTGAATTAGCCATTTTTGATGAAATTTTTTGTAACATTCGAAAGGTATTGTTGTCTTGAGCTTAAATTTGAAAAGATTTTCTTTTGTGATTTTTGTTCGCAAAGTTATGGGGATTTAAAGATTGAGAATTTGGGACAATTAACGCGCGATATATGTAGCCCTCTTAACGCGTAAGTGGAGATTTAATCCGTCTTCGAAATCGTTCCAAACTGGTTAAAGGAAGCTTATCTGCCAAATTGATTTATTAATGGGAGCCACATTTTTTACTTTGTACTTTATATGGCGTGTGGGGGATGATTTTCATAAAAAACTTCAAATTTTAGAAAAAAAAATTTTCATTTTTTTTACATTTAATTTTTTAATGTTAATACTGCTCCATAAACCTTAAAAAGCAGTCGGAAAATTCAGGGCTTCGCCCTGATACAGCAGTCTTGTTTCATTTTCAATTTTACTAGAAATGTCGTCTGCAATTTGTGGCAAACTAAAAACATTTTGGAGAAAATCAGACAAAGGAATTAAATTGAATTTTGAAATGTCTCAAATCAGTTTGATGCTTTGAGAATTTTCACTCAATTTATTTAATCAAAACGTTTGTAGGTGATATCACGTCAAAATGAATTTTTTATTACCACCATAAAATATGAAAACACACCATAGAAGATCTATTTGACTAGACGTTTTCATATACAAGTTTTCTAGCTTTCCATAATATGCCAATTTGAAAAAGTTAATGAAGCCAACTCGAAAACCGTCTGGTTCATCTTCTTTTTCATCGAAAAACTACCTCAAATGAATGAAACGACAATGTTTGATAAACGTTTCTGATGTTACTAAGGAAAAATCAACCATGGCGCATTTTGAAACCATTGCAGATTTCAAATTGTGTAGGAATTTTCGCTTGAGTTTAAAATGAGCTCAATTATTATTGTTCCGACTTTCGATGCCAAAGTAACGAAATATTTGTGCTCGGGGTGGGTTTTTTTTCATCAGACAAATTTCGGCTTTTTAATTAGCCATTTTTGACGGAATTTTTTTATATCATTCGAAAGCTATTGTTGTCCTGAGCTTAAATTTGAAAAGATATTTGACTTGTGATCATTTTTCGTAAAGTTATGGGGGTTTAAAGATTTGGAACAATTAACGAGCGATATATTTCGCGCTATTAACGCGTAAGCGGAGAGTTATCCGTCTTAAATTGTTTCAAATTGGTTGAAGGAAGCTTATTTGCCATAATTGGTTTGTTACTAGGAGTGAAATTTATCTTTTTGTCTTTAATATGGCGTGTGGGGGGATGATTTTTGCAAAAAAATCTCAACTTAAAAAAATCATTTTATTTTTTAATACATTTATTAATTTTTTCATGTTATTACTGCTCCATACACTGCTTTATAAATTGAGGCATGTTATTTGGATTTTTTTTTCAAATTGACTGGTACTGCTAATGCGTCATAATTGGCGTGCGTCACTGAAGAAATTTTGTAGACGTTCACATATATTCATAGATTGCGTCGTTTCAGGAGGATCTGTTGCAGTGTAAGTGTCTGTTATCACCCAATGGGGACTACTTGAGTGCCTCTAGAATGATCTGTGAGGAGAACTGTCCCACAAGGAAGTTGTCTTACACTCTCTTCTTCTTCATGCTCATGGTCGCATCTATGGTCAGTGTGCCACACATCACCTGTCTTCTTAGGTAAGCAATACAGGCTGACAAAAACAGGGGACTGGTTTTCAATGTACGCTTATAAGTTAATCAGTCGGCAATTGTTTGACTAGTGATTCACATATTTACATTTTGATCCACTGTTGTAGATATATAAGGAACATCAGCCTTCGCAGTGCGTTTGAAGAAAGATTTACATTAAAGGTTTTTTTTATTTATGTACGAAGGAAAAAACTGATGTTTGAAAACTGAGAAGGTAATTTTGAAACGCTCAAGTTGCTTCGATTTTTAGGGTAGTTCCAGACAGTCAACGTAGTTTAGCCCTCGGACTCCAGTGGGTGTTTGTCCGACTTCTCGGAACCATTCCTGGACCAATCATAGTCGGCAAAATATTTGATAGTACCTGTCTTTTATGGAATGAGAGCAAAGCATGTCACGAGTCTAGTTTTTGTCTAAGTAACGACAGTAAAAAGTTGGGCTTGTACACATTTCTATACGCTATCTGTCCAATGTCAGTGGGTCTGCTATTTCTATTTTCGGCTGTCAAAACTTACAAACCTGCTAATGATTTGTTTTCACTTGGAGAAGAAAATCAAAGTGAGAAACAGCAGGAACAAAACATGGGAACATCATTAGAACCAAGCGGGGTCGATAATCCGCCTAGGTTACTTTTCAGCGTCGAGAATGACTCACCTCCTGCTTACGACGAACTGAGCGCAGAGCAGAGGTAATTGGAGCATAATCAATTTTTCGGCTGTTTTTCTCCTTTGAATTTGGTAACTTATTGACTACTATTTTAAGCTAGTCTAATATAATAATTGCTGAAATAATAAATTTTATTTTAAACATATCAATGCCAAATAGATTACTTGCTAAAATGAAATTTTTGCTGTGAATAATGATGGCTACTAAATAAAACTTAGTGAACCAAGTTCATCATTAAACTTTACATAAGCCTTTTTTTTTTAAGTTTCGATTGCGGACTGATTTGGAGCTGTTGCTGAAATAACTAGCTGCTTGTTCCAACATCATGAAAGGCTTTTTAGATTAGTGATCTTTCACTCATTTGGTTTTTCTAGGTTATTTCTTTGTCAATTTTTCTGCGTTACTTTCTCTTTATAATGACAAATGCAAGAACAAATACTTACAATCGATAAGCATTTTTTGGCAAATTCATTTGCAACTATCACTTCTCGAAAATTGAAAGTGAAATTAAGCAAGTATAATTGAAATTTATACCACAACCAAACTTTTCTTTTCGTGAGCTAATCATTATAAGGTAAAACTTGATTGAAGAGTGAATTTGAATTATACATGCAAAAAATATTTTTCAATTGTCCAGAAATTAGAGTTGCCGGAAAATGTTACCAAATTTTTAAACGATTATAAATACTTGCTCTCGTAATTATAAACATACACACACGCGGGCGCCCGCACCCAAACAAATTGATTTAAAAAATACCTAGCAAATGAGTGATAGATCACTAGGCTCAAAAGCATTTATTTTATGCGCAAGCAAGCAGCTGGTTATCTCAACCACAGCTGCTAGTCAAGCGGGACAGTGTAAACAAATCATTTTGAAAAATCACTTCAACGTCTGTTAAACGATCTATTTGAAAAAACATATCATGATCCCACCAAATGATTTGCTTATTGATTCACTTCAAACAAGTTATTGATTCAATTTTCTCAAATTCGGTTAGTTTATTAGTAGTCAATCGACGTAATGACGACTCATGGATTGGTCGTGATGGTTTTTTTTAGTTTGTTTCCTCAAAAAAATCTTGAATTTTCTTCACGCTTAAATTTGATGTTTCGTGGTTTGGCAAGCTCCACTATCAAACAGCAAAAATTTCACAAAAAAAATGTGATCAACTTCTAATTTCCCAAGTGGGTTTCTATTTTCAGGTTTCCAAGAGAAAAAAAAATGTTACCTATTGATCCAGTTGTTTTTTCAATTGTGCCAAGTTCATCAAAACGGTGTTAATCATAAATTGGTCTTGAAATTCAAAGAGCTTTAAGGGCAAAGATTTTTAAGTTTTATTTTCAAAAACAGAAGTTTTTCAAACGACTAGTAAGCTTTTCTGTTTCCTTGCGTCCATTGATTTTGTTCCAATTGTCTGATAGCTATGTTAAAAAATGTCAATCAAAAACTATTTTCGAATTTGAAAAAATATTGAATATGAAGGTTGTTTTACTTTAAAACAAAAAGATAGAAAAATTCAGTTGCGAATAATCTTCCTGGAAAAAAAAACACAAAGGCTCTTTTAAACTCATTTACCAAAAGAAGACCAATTACACTGTGCTTTATCACATAGACCTGAAGGTACAGCTTTGTTTTCAGTTTCAGAAGAAGATATAGTTTGAAGCATATAACAAACTTAAAAGAACAGTTTATAAATTATTTGTGTAATTTTATCTGGGAGGCTGAAAAAATGGGGTTTGGTTTTGTATACAGCAAAAATGATTTTTTGAGAACTTTGAAGCACAATTACTTTTTCAAATGATTATTCTTTGGATGCATCAAGTGTTCCGACCATTGAAAATGGGGAGAAATTTAGTATTCGGGTGTGTTTTACTTTTTTTCAAGCAAATTTAGGTACCACAAATAGTCATCAGACTAAATCCAGTGATATCTCATATTCAAGCCTTTTTAGTCGTCATTCGAGTAAACATTAAAAACCTTGAGAATGTAGTCCCAACATTGAGAAAAACAAGTTGAAAAGGTTTGATTTTTGGTCTAAATTCGAGCTAAGAAATCAAGCAGTATTCATGCTAATTTGTGCTGATTTATCTGTCATTTAAGCAGTGAAAACTGAGTTTTTATGGATAAAAGTTAGTTTTTTGACTTGTTTGTCGATTCGTTTTTCTAGAAAAATTGTCCAACCTGCCTATTTTATTACGAATGTCGATTATGTCTAAATTTTAGTTTTTCGTTGAGATCATTTGTATTTTTTTAACAGTTTGGTTGGAACACTCTGCGCAGTAATCGGCTATTCTTTTTAGCAATTAGGTTTTCTTATCAGGTTATGTTTTTAGGTCGACTAAATAGACTTTTTGAGCTCTCCTAAATGACTAAAAAGACCCCATTTTGACCAAATTTTCTGTGTCGCAGGCAAAATATTTAGAAAACTTTGACCTAAAAATCGCGTTTTTTGGCGCTCATTCCCCCCCAAAAATTAGTATATATTGGCGCCAAAGGCGCCTTTAGAAAAATTTTTGGGTCTGTCAACAAAATGGATATCTCAAAATAGTACAAATGGGGAGGGACCCTTTAGGTCCGCAGGGGTTCGAATTATTGTGTGTGTGTGAGTGTGTGGGGGGGGGGGGGGGGGTGGGGGGGGGGGTGACGTCCGCCCTTTCACCTAAATCCGCTGGTGGTCGTCTACCCAAGTGTTGTCTGCTTATTAACTGTTGGATGAATGTTGATTTTTATCTTTTATCTATTTTAAGTATTTAACCTATTTAAAACTGCTGGCAATTGTCTTTTTCAGTATCATCTTTCCTTAAATTCAATTGCCTTCGAGACGAATGTGAAAAACAAATATTTAAAAAAATCGAACCAGTGGTGTTTGTCCTTTTTTTTTCGGCTAGCTGTTGTTTTATTTCTTGATTTTTGGCGTTGATATATCATTAATTTCTGCAATTTGATATTATATCGATTAAAAAATTTCAGTGAGGAAGAGAAAAAATCTGCTCATGAATAGGTTTCAGATTTAAATGTGCGTGAACACCGTCATATCCTGAAGACAAACAGGCTTAGATATTTACTGCTGGGAATAAAAAAAACATGGTCGGAAATCGCAAAAGATGTGTTTGAAATGAAGAACATTTTAAAGCTGAATCAGCAAACAAACTGTTTCTAACTCTTTTCATGACATAAACTGACCTCGAATTGTTATGATAATTCTCCTTCTTAGTTTCATTACGAGGCCAAACTGTGCATTTTGTGCATTGTAAGCGGATTCCGCAACAAGGGCGCTCCCTTTGTTCTTCTTTTGTTCTTTCCTTCTCTCTCATCGTTCCGACAAAATTTTAACATGTATAAAGACTTGTCTCTGGAATCCAAAAATTTTGCTCCTATCCAGTGCACATTTTGGCCTCGTAATGTTACTTTTGCCATTTAAATGACGCCTGCGTAGTTGAATGTCTGGTCTGGAGTCTGGTAAGATTGGGGCCTAGGAAATTTGACGATAAGCAAATTAGACTGATGCTACAGAAACGCAATTAAACGAAAGTTCTTTTTGGAGATCTGGGATTTTAGACGAAAAAGCTATGAAAAGGAAAGGGCCAACAAAATTATTTGTTGAGAGTCAAGTTTTACAATTACAGAAAAAGAACATAAAATGACAATACTTATCAAAACAATTACTTTAAATGAACATAAAATGTCAAATCCGAATATTACAGGAGAGTTTTGAATTGAAAAAATTATGCATGATTCACATGTAAAATTTTTGGACACCAATTTGTCTGCAAACATTTTTAATATCTCTCTTTTTGTCTATTTTCTCACAATTGCAGCTTTGCAAAATCGTCTAATTTCCTTTTAAGTGGTGAGATCATCTTATCAATTACAAAATATAGATTGTCCCAATTGACAGAATATGCATGGTTAATTAACCGGATCAATTGAGCAATCTCCCCCACCCCCTCATTCTCGTTTGGGGGGATAAAGCTCAATAGGTACTTGAGACATGTTTATAACAACTTGAAAATAGTTTGAATGATATGAAATCAAAGAACAGATTCTCCAACGATTTTTGGATAACTGGTGGCTGTAAAAGTACTGTTTCTTTTTATTTGTTCCGACCATTTGGAAAATGGGGAGGAGCTTTGCATTCGAGTGTGTTTTAGTTTTTTCGGCTCTTTTTCCTTCCCCCACTTCACGCCAGTTTCAACTTATTAGTGTAACGAGTGGTTTTACGAGGTTGAGTATGAAGGCCAAATATGTTTGTCGTGGCCTTATTGGTCTGTATGTAAACTTTCATAACAATCGGACAATGTAAAAAGTTGCAGGTGGAGGAAAAAGGTAAAAGAGCCGTTTTTTCTTTTTGTTTTTGACCCAAAATCAACTGCCACAAACAATCATCGGAATGCGTCGAGTGATATATCATAGTAAAGTCTTTGGCTCTTTTTCCTTCCCACCACCTGCAGTTTTTTACTTGTAAGTTACTGTTCACATTGTCCGATCATTATGAAAATTGACATGCGGACTAATTAGGATGTGCCAAACACATTTGCTTTTCATATTCAACCTTGTAAAACCACTCATGTCTTCATACAATTGATGGTCGTGGCAGGGGAAGGAAAAAGAGCCAAGTCTAGTTTTACAATTACAGAAAAAGAACATAAAATGACAATACTTATCAAAACAATTACTTTAAATGAACATAAAATGTCAAATCCGAATATTACAGGAGAGTTTTGAATTGAAAAAGTTATGCAAAATCGTCTAACTTCCTTTTAAGTGGTGAGATCATCTTATCAAGTACACAATATAAATTGTCTCAATTGACAGAATATGCATGGTTAATTAACCGGATCAATTGAGCAATCTCCCCCCCCCCCCCTTCATTCTCGTTTGGGGGGATAAAGCTCAATAGGTACTTGAGACATGTTTATAACAACTTGAAAATAGTTTGAATGATATGAAATCATAGAACAGATTCTCCAACGATTTTGGAACGCCAAAATTTACAAGATCAAAGCTCAAAAATTACAATCAGAGTGGAAAAAAAAATCAATAAAACAGAAAAGAATCAATAGGCATATAAAACTACTTTTTTCTGTCCTCAAAGGAGGAAAAGTGTATTGCATACAATATTAAGGTGCTGCGGAGAACAGTGTTTGATATTCAGACACATGGCTAGAGCATCAATCCTGGTAAGTCGCTTTCCTCGATGAGGCAATGATCGCCCAAACAAAAATTTGCAAAAAAAAAAACAATTTTCATAAAATTCTATTTCTTTTTCAAAATTTTTCTCGATACTCATATAAAATAAACTTCAGTCGCTCAATTGATTGCGTTCTACGAACAAATCAGCCATCAAAATGCGTTTGCTGACGTATTTTTATAGCGTTTACAGTTTTTGCTTGGTTCGATATAGCTCAATTGGTCATTACGGGGGGGGGGGGGGGGTTAATCAATTGATCCAATTAACCTAACAACAGTTCATGTTTGTGAATCTCTGCCACAGCCGTCTGATAGCATTCTCCGCTTCCACGTGATTGACATCAGTCAACCGCCTCTCTTGATGGATTTCCCTTTTGTGTCGCGATGTTTTTCGTTCAGTCAAAGTATCGGTGATCAAAGCCGCATAGCTGCAAGGAACAGTGCGGTGCTTCGTCTGCAAAAAAAAATAATCTAAAAAATCGAAGGTTTCTTATCACGAAAGTAATTGATTTTTGTTCAACTCAGTTATTTAATTTCAGCAACAAATTTGTTTTGGTATTAGTTTTAAAGGGATTGCGTTTGCAATGAAACACATAACAGCTAACCTAAAGCTTATGTAAACATTTATTTTTGTATTTATTAAACAAAATATATTTTTTGTTGAATATTGACTTTTTTCAGGCTAACAACTTAATTAATACAATCACTTGAATTATTGTTAACAGCACGTGCGCTACATTAAGATGCTGCTGACATCCTTAATTTCTGTGCTGACATCAATTAAATTTTTGGATTACTGGTGGCTGTAAGAGTACTGTTTTTTTTTATTTGTTCCGACCATTTGGAAAATGGGGAGGAGCTTTGCATTCGAGTGTGTTTTAGTTTTTTCGGCTCTTTTTCCTTCCCCCACTTCACGCCAGTTTCAACTTATTAGTGTAACGAGTGGTTTTACGAGGTTGAGTATGAAGTCCAAATATGTTTGTCGTGGCCTTATTGGTCTGTATTTAAATTTTCATAACAATCGGACAATGTAAAAATTTGCAGGTGGAGGGAAAGGAAAAAGAGCCGTTTTTTCTTTTTGTTTTCGACCCAAAATCAACTGCCACAAACAATCATCGGAATGCGTCGAGTGATATATCATAGTAAATCTTTGGCTCTTTTTCCTTCCCCCCACCTGCAATTTTTTACTAGTGAAATTACTGTTCACATTGTCCGATCATTATGAAAATTGACATGCGGACTAATTAGGTTGTGCCAAACACATTTGCTCTTCATATTAAACCTTGTAAAACCACTCATGTCACCATAAAATTGATGGTCGTGGGAGGTGGGGGGGAAGGAAAAAGAGCCAAGTCTTTTTAGTCGTGATTCGAACGACTTTCACGAAGTTTGAAATTTTTTTTTCTCAGTGTCGAGAAAAACCGTTTTGAAAAATTGATTTTTGGTCTGATTTTCAGCTGATAAATCGAACATATTAGGCTTATTTATGCTGTGATTTAAGCCGTGAAAATTTAATTTCACTCGAGTAAAGTTAGTTTTTGGAGTGTGTGAGCGCCGTTTTGGGAATCAAAAAATTTGTTTTTCTTGTCATTTTTCTAAAAAAAAAACTGATTTCCAATTGGTCGTTTTTACCATGACTGTGGAATATGCCCAAGTTCTATTTTTTTGTTCGCATATTTTTTATCACCCCTTGCAGAAAAAACGACACTAATGTGAAAAAAACATGTTTTTAGACTATGATATTTTCTGCTACTTTTTTTCTGCTATTTTCTGCTACTTGCACAGTAACCGGCTATCCTGTTTTACTTTTGACATTGCGGTTTTTTACCTTGTGCTTATGTGAAAACACTCCGTCAGTTGTAACAGTTTTTGACCCTTTGGCCTTGCGATGCTTCCCTGACTTCTTTTGTCCAATCACCCCACCAATCGCATGTTGACATAACTCAACTTCAGATGCACTCAGATGGTGGAATGATGACTCATCCCCACTCGAAGCACTGTTGTGTCCGTCTAGTCCGGCTGTGAAGCTGCAGTTGTGGCGTCTGTGGTGCGCATTCTTCCGCAGTACTTGCAGGTCATCTACTCCGCATACTTTGATCCTCCTCAAAACGGTTTTGCAAAGAATCATAATGCATCATTTGCAATGGATTTCTTCAATAATTCTAGTTCGTGATTTTTTTTCGTAGTTCTAATTAAAAAGTGACCACTGATTCATCTTCTGATTAGTTCTATGTTTGAGAAGGATTGACGCCGAAAAAACGCATGTTGGTCAAAATTTTTCTAAAAAGCCCAAATTTCGCCCCAAGATGGAGGAATGTAAAATTCTTGTGAGATAAATACTGTATTCGTATCTTTTTTCACTAATCAATTCAAATTCAAAAATCATTGCAATTAGCTACAAAAATTTTTTAGACAAAGGTCAGTGCAAATCTGTGCTAAAAATTTTCTTTCTAGTTGAACCCTTGCTATAAATTGGCATGTTGTCTTTTTGAAAGATGATAAACCTGATATGAATTTATTCATTGCATCATCAATAGAGAAGCAAAGCTGCGTTTTTGCACACACAAATTAGAAAACAGCAAAAAGTAGTTCTAAAAAAGCAAAAACAATTAAAAAAAATAAATATAGGTCTTGAAAAATAAATTTTTTTGCTGTGCTGGATGGAGCCTCATGCCCTCGCACTAACTACCAAGGAAACAGCTTCAGCAAAAAAGCCATAAAACTATTTCAATGTTCCGGATTTGAATCTCCGACCTGTAGATTAGGAGTCATGTGCGCGACGGTCGATTGAAAGTAAACTATTACTAGCCATCAAAGCAACGGATGCTGTTAAATTGCCTATGACTGGAAAAATGGTTACATGTCATTTTGCCAGTTCATCTCCTGCTGTGACGGCAGTTCATCTCCTGTGGCATTTGTGTGAACTGTAACTTGCGCATCTCCAGTGCTCAATAGTTTTTGTCGTTTGCTTTTTTTGTGAAATCGTGATTGTCAAAATGAGCGTTCGTTTAATTCGTTGAGATATTCCCCACGTTAGTTGACTCATAGTATTTATGTTGCGATTTTTAAGAATAAAATGGAAAACAATGAAGCACAATGAAAGAATAGCCGTGTTTCGTTTTTTCAATGGCGCTAATTGTGAATTATTGTCAAATTTTGGCGTGTAATTACCAAAAATTATGGTTTTTTAAGCTCAGCTTTTGATAAGAGTTTTTTGTTATCTCAAAACGAGTCCAGTCTACAGTAGCACTTGCTGGTCCTCAATTTGAACATCAAAGAACCAAGTAAAAGTCTTAAGTATGGGACAAAACGGCATAGGACAAAATATCATGTGGGGCAAGTTGGCACAGGACAAGTTGCCATGTAGGGCAAGTTAGTATAGGACAAGTTGGCATAGGGCCAATTGACTTGGTACAAATAGTCCTGACACCGGAAATATACCAAAAGTGCCATCAAATAAGCACTCTTATTCGCGACAAAACTCCGCTTGCGTGAATACACATTATTAATTTTCTGATCTGCTAGATTGCGATTATGGTCAAAGCCTACCTTCTTGAGTTGAAGTTGACCTGTTTTCTCTTGCAGCTGTTTTCTTTATCACCTCCGCTCTTGGAGTCCCTATGTTGTCTCCCTTGCAGCGAAGCCTGTTCTCCCTTCGAGTCTTGTCTGCAAGTTTGAGACGCTCCTTCGCTTTTCCTGTGCTTCCGACATTCACGAGTCTCCTTAGTGCTTTCTTTTATCATCTCAAGAGATGCTGAATGTCTGGAAAGGGCTCGGCGAGTTTGCCCTGTCTTGTCGTGGGTTCAGGAAAAAAACATGCTGATTTTACTTAAATTGACAACAGGAAACTATTAAAAGGTTTTTTTCTTGCCAGCTTTAGTCAATTAAAACTGAAATTCTAGAAAAATAAAACACATTAAAGAGGTTTGCGGGACCAGAAATATTGTAAATAAATATTACCTTCGTAGAAGCGTGACTGGGCGTAATTGCTGTCGCATTGATTTCGCCAGTAGCACGTGCAGATGACCCCGCTATGTTGTCCATCACCAGCTGCTCTACCTGACTGTAGACTGAGTCGTAGTTGAAGACCTCTAGACTCTCGATGTTAGAGTCTTCATTCGAACCAAAGAGGGAAGAATCGTTCCCCAACACGTTTTCCATTAAAATTATTTGCTGTGCAAGCTAAGAAAAAAATCAGTTGAAAAGATTGAAAATGGAGTAGGTCACCGTGTAAGGTTTTTTTATTGAGCCACCAGAAATTTCGATGCTGAGTAGGCTATGACAAACCTAATCCTTTTAAACTATAGAATGGTAATTTTCAATATGCAGTATTTCTAGAAAATAAGACAGCTCAGTTGATGTTTTAGTACATTGATTCTCATATGCAATTTGAAACGTAGAATTTTGTTGAGATCATATTCTTGATAGGACATTTTATGTCAATTATTTGATTAATTGGTCACGTCTTACAGATTATGAAACCGGATATCGTTCATAAATGTAGTAGAAAGGTAAGAAATCATTATGTCACTCATTTATGGAAATTTAATCATGGGTCTGCAGCGATAGCAGAGAAGTTTCTGAATAGCATACTAAACTGCGGCTTAAAAATGTGAAGGCATTTAACAAAAACTGATTTTATGTCATTATTGTTACAACTTATTTCTAATTAAATACCGGTAGAAGTTATTTGGAAAAAAACTAGATGTTTTCGCTGGTGTCACGAAATTTCGGACAGACAACTCAGCCGATAATATGATATTTTTCAGTCAAAATAAGTGAGACATTTCAGTCAAAAACTTTTCAATCAATAAAGATGAAAAAAAATAATTAGTTTTTTTTCATACCGTTCAACTTAATCGGACGAACAAAGTTAAAGTGGTTAAAGGTATAGAAAAGATTATCAAAGAACTGCTTTTTAAGATAAGTTAACATCGTTTGTACAAACTATCAAATACTTGGAATTTTACGTGAATATGAATGCTGAAATCAACGTCGAGAGACTCATTTCCGAAGAAGAAGTTAGAAAACAAGAATAATGTATGTGAATGCCAATCAAACACTTAAAAAATATGTACTCAATGTCAGCGCATAAAAATTCCTTGTTTGGTTGGCATTAGCTTACTTTTTTCTTGTTTTCCTAACTTCTACATTGTTTTGCTCGTCTTTGAAACGGGCAATCATTTGCGGTAAAATTTAGTTTCTGCTGAAGGTTAAACCTTTTTAACAGCATTGGGAACAGTGACTTCAAAGTCAATGACAGTTTTGGAGCCAAGTTGATCAAAGAAGCTGAAGAAGGTTTCGTGCGTTACCTGAGTTTTGTCTGGCAGCAAGCCATATACTAATGGTATCAAATTACCATCAATTAAACCGTGAACTGTGTAAACTGGACAGAAAACATGTAGTGGCGCTGAAAAAATTCCATCGCAAAAGCCAATTATCAGACTGAGCAAAAACTCGTTCTGTTGATATCCCAGAGTTGTAGAAGAATATTTTTTCCTGTCTAAGATATTATCGAACGCAGGTTGTTTTTCGGCTGTTATGTTATTATTAGCGCTACTGGTTATCAAATATCAACAAAATTTGTGTAATTTTCGATAGGTTTGCCTTTTTGTGCACTGAGGAATACATGAGTCAAATTTTTTCCTCTAGATTCTATTTCAAAGATTCGTACTCGTCAGATCATGATTGAAACAACTTATTGATCCGACTTTCGAAAAAAGTGACAAAAAATATTTATAAGGAGGTGGAGAGGGGTTTCTCGGGGCCAATGTAAACTTTTTAACAAGCCATTTTTGGAGAATTTTTTAAAACCCTGAAACGCATTGTTGTCTTGAGTTCAAAACGAAAAAGGTTTTCACTAGTGATCTTTTAATTTGAGGGGTTAAGAGATATGGGACAAACATTGCGCTATATAGTTTGTGCTGTAAACGCGTGAATGGCGATTTGATCCAGCCTAAAAATCCTTCCAAATTAAATTGAGGCATGCTATTTGTTCTAATTTTTACGTGACTACTTATAATTTATCTTTTCGCGCTTGAAATGAAAAAGAAAATCATAATAATTTAGGTGGAACTTTCAACAGAGCTTAGCAATAAAATATATCATATCATACTAACTCACTGGGTCTATGGACATTTTCCTTCTGATTTCTTAATCGATTTGATTAGTTAGCGGGTAAGGTAAGGATTTTACCGATCTAATATCAACTTTTCTTTTCAAAAAATGGCCCTCTTTGAAGCTTGAGGTAAAGATTTTGTCGTAGCAATCCTTTCAAAAAATAATTCAGTGTTAAACTTGACGGAACGAAGGGTGAATGGAAGTTGTAACACAGTCGGGTCAGGCCTGGAAAATTCAGAGTTCACTGTATTAAGTAATCAAATTTCGCTTCTTTTCCCACTTTCTTTAACTCCAGTCTTTAAAATTATCATTTGAAGCATAGTCGCTCAGACTTTTGTTATTCAGAGTATATTCCGTTATATTTATACTGATATATTTATATTGAAACTGATTCCACAAATACTTTGAATTCCATTTCCTTATTTGTTCTTTTTTTCACGTTGAATTCAAAATTTTATGACTCTTACAGACAAAAACTCAGGCAAAACAAAAGCAAGGTTCTTCTCCAAAAACACAATCAGTGAAAAATCAAAAAATAAATTGAGCAATTAATTAGTTTTAGATATCTGTGTATTTTCATTGATGAAAAACAAGGCAATGAAAGAGATTAAATAAAGTTCAAAGTAAGTTATACATATTTTGTGTGATGTTTTATTAACCTGAAAGTGTTTAAATTTATCTCAATCGATGAAAGTATACGAAACTTATGTTAAACCAAATGCGCAAATACGGCGTAATTGATTATGCTGCTACAGATAAAACCAAACCAAACTCGTTCGAAAATACTATAAATTGTATCATAAATTTTTGCTAATTCAAGAAAGGTAATCAGTCAACTAAACAAACAAAAAATCATAAATTACTTTACACCGTAAAGGAACTCCACATTTATGGACTACCGAAACTATTAGATCAAGTGTTCAGAAAAGTAGGCCCTTCAAAATTCATTAATAGTTTTATCAATCATGCCAAATGTATTAAGATTAAGACACACAGACTAAAAACTCAAAAAAATGTTGCGTTGCGATAGAAAAAAAGTCATAGTAAAGCGTTTAAAAAATATAATCAAAAACAGTTTAATTGACCATAAATATACATTTCGACAACAAAAACTCTAAAACTTGTCATTGATTGTTTTAAATATGCAAAATGTTCACGTAAGGCTTGAAATGAAAGAATGAAAGTCACACTACTACGTTTCACAAATTAAATCAAAAACAGTTAAATCGGCCACAGATACATATTTCGACAAAAAATTAAAGAGTGAAATCCGACGCATCCCACAAAATTTAAAGGCATCATGCAAAAACTCCATGAGAACTATTGAAAAACGGTTTCGTTCACATCAAGATGTTTAAGACACCACAAAACAAAATACTCTGCAAAGGAATTGAGATTCACATGTAGTTTGGGCAGTAGAACAATCAAAAGCTGCCTTTTGGGTAGTAGAACAATCAATCGAACATTTAGCGGGTAAGGTGCGGATTTTACTGATCTAATATCAATTTTTCCATTCAAAAAATGATCCTCTTTGAAACTTGGGGTAAGGATTTTGTCGTAGCAATCCTTTCAAAAAATAATTCAGTGTTAAACTTGACGGAACGAAAGATGAATTTAAGCTGTAACACAGCCGGGTCAAACCTGGAAAATTCCGAGTTCACTGTATTAAGTAATCAAGTTTCGCATATTTTCACTTTTATTTGAATTCCAGTCTTCAAAATTAAAATTTGAAGCGCCGTCGTTCAGAATTTTGTTCTTTAGAGTACATTAACCCGTTAGATTTACAGAAACTGATCTCACAAATATTTTTAATTGCATTTCCTGATTTGTTCTTTTTCCATTTTAAATTGAAAATTTCATGACTGTTACCCCCATTTCCGTTGTATAAAAGCGCTAGATATTTATCTCATAACGAAATTGTATTTAGTCAATCAATTTCCTGCATAAAAAATTTCCCTACTTATGAAGAATATTCCCCAAAACATTTGCCCTTACCTAAGCCAAAAAACAAACAATGAAAATTTTCAAGATAAAGATATTGGGATATTGGCTCTTCTGACAGAATAAAACACAAAGCTAAATCTTTTGGTTCAAGTTTTTCAACGGAAAATGGGTCTAAAAATCTAATACTTTTATTCAAAATTTTACTTTGATCAATAAATAGTTATTGACCCTTACAACGGAAAAATACACAATTCTATCTTCTTCGGTTAACGCATACCAAAGAAAAAAGAATATAAAGATTTGGGGCATGTTTCATCAGTTTATTCAAGACTTACACAATTCCGACAAAAAAATTGGACATGGACGGGAATTTGGATATCCCATTTACCGCAAGAAATTCAATAATTCAAATAATTTACTCAGCTTGACCTGGTAAATTCGAATTGATTTGTTTTCTTCAGAAACATCTGGTGCCCCTAAATTTTTGTCTAATCTACCATCACCGTGTTAACTAATACTTCCTAACATAACGAAGAAATTGATCTTGAGTTTGCATTTCATTAGAATTATCTTGACGGACTAATCGTTACATTTTTCCTCGTAATTACCGTTTTTCAAAAACGCCGTCAACGAAAATGAATAAAAAAGGAAACGATTGCCGTATTTTTTGAATTAGGTTTACAAAACTGCTGTAAAAAATCTTTATAAAAATTTGATTACCGTGCGGCAACCAAGGCAATAATTTCTGTATGATCTACTGCTGAGCCAGAAAAAAAATTATTCTCAAAAAATTCAAGATTTTTTTTCTTAATTTTTTGTACTGATGCTGGATGTAATGCTTAAGTTGCAAAAAATGTTCTTAACCCACACCCTTAATTGTTGCTACTGAAAGAGGGTAATGTGAAACAGATTCTGCTTTCCGGAAAGCATGGGTAGGGTAGAGCCAACTCAGTATCAAATTTTGAAATTTTAAAATCTGGTTTCTCAAATGGAACTCAATATAATTTTGTAAATCGATCTAAATTTACCACCCAGTTCGTCAAACTTGGTGTACCACAAGAATCTAAATTAGGTGTTCTTTTATTCATTTTCTTCTAATCGATTTTGATTCTAACAATGACCAGTCAAAAATAGTTTAGTACGCTGATTATACTGCAGTACAAACTATAGTAGAAAAAAATATATATACAGAGAAATCATCGAAAAACTCTGAATGATTTCAATAATTGATTAGATGATAATCAATCAACGTTGAACACAAACAAAACAAAAACAATTTGCCTCTCCAAAACCAAAGGCAGTAAAAATACATTAAAAAAATTTAAGGAAAAACAAATATTGAGCAATTAACTAGTTTTAGATATGTGCGCGTTTATTTTGATGAAAAATTAGGCAATGCAAGACAAGGAAACGAGGCTCAAAATAAGTTACAGAGAATTTGTGGGA